AAAATTTCGTTCGTAAAAATTTTAAGTTCAAAAAATTAAAAAAAAAAAAACCAATGATTAAAGACATTTATTTTTTGTACTATACTGTTACCGTTATAGACTAAAAAATTTTTAATTCATTAATATTTGAACATACTTATGTGTTATTTTATGAAATAGTAAAAACATGTACATTTTACAATATTTACGAAGCCTTATTTTGAGCAACTATACAACATTTTTAACATGTGAAGATTCGCCAAAATATAGGATTAAATAATTATTCTCTTCTCGGTCTCAAAGTGAAGATAAACTCTGTAGGTAATTTTGAAGGTCAAAAGTTCCAAATAGTGCCATGTAGCTTCCACTATTTTATACAAACATACAAGAAAAAAAGAAAGTATCAGAAATACTTAAATTACGCTGCCTTTAAAGTTTTTTTACTGCCTTATTACCTTTAAAGAATTTCTCTAAACGACTTCAAATTTCATAGAGAGCTGATGTCATACACGTTTTAACGAAATATTTGTTATTTTTATATACATGTCTATATCAATGTTATGTAAACGGAATGTTTATTACAAAATCATATTAATTAGTAGATTTGCATACCAACAACTAAGTACTGTTGCGGTGCATTAACTTTTATTTTGCACCGCAAACTTACAATTTTTCGATACACCTCCCTCTACATTTTCTGCATTCTGCTTCGATTTTGGGACAGAAATAACCTTATTACAGTCTTACATGGAGTATTACAGGTTTGACTAAGTTTGAGCTTGGCAAAGTATACTTTTTTATTGAAAATCACACTTTACGTAAGATGGCAAAAAATGTATATCTGCTTTAATTTTTTCAGTCGCATCGCTGACTAATTTACCCAGCTTATGGTAGACTATAACGTGGACTACCACGTGTGCCACGTGTATCAGTGCTATTATAATAACGGGGTACTCCACTGATAAATATATCAGTAGAGATTGCGAAAGAGAAATATCATTAGCAACGTCAACATGTATTTGTACTTAAATATCCATGGCTTATTCGTTGTGTGTATTGTGATAACAAATTATTTTTATTTAAGAAAACAATACATTACGCAGCTATAAGTTTTTAGTATAAGTTGAAGAAGTTTTTTTTTCCTTTTTTTTCTTTATTCATTATATTATTCTATTGAGCTTTCATAATTTTAGCATAAGTATGTA